GCATGAAATTTGGCACAGCATGCTGAAATAGGTCGAGAATGATGTGTGTTAATTTTCGTGAAAATCGGTTTAGATTTAGATATAGCTCCCATACATATTTTCGTCTGATTTAACGTAATTGGTGCACCAAAGTCCCTTTTATCTTTCGATTTGCACGAAATTTGGCACAGCGTAATGAATTAGGTCTAGAATGATGTGTGTTAAGTTTCCTGAAAATCGGTTCAGATTTAGATATAGCTCCCGAAATGACTACCATATTTTGACAGTTCCTGACCGATTTCGGGTACTTTAATGCTCACCATGGTATATACTTTTTGGTCTGATCGATGACTTTTTTACAAACTCACCTATTTATACAATTACAAACAACTATTCCATGCATCACCTACATAAAAAACGTAAAACCAGGTGTCGATGTAACAATCTTATCATTTGCTGCCACTGGAATCGACGATAAGCAAGATTTAAGTATTTGGAGCAACATTTCTGCTGTGGTCCATTAAATGCGGTCCAGTGGTTATGCTTAGAGGTTTATTATTAGGTGAGTGAATTAATCGTCTTCAGTGGAATAAACCAGAGTTCAACATAAAAACGTACGTGTAACGTTAGCTGACCAGGTTTGTAGTGGTCAGTTAGACATTATTATGTCTGTGGATTGTATGTGTTAGAGAACGAGAACCGATTTAATAAATTCTGAACAGATTGAATGTGTGGTATATCACCGTGTATGGTTGGCGACGTATCCAGGCTGCTTAGCCAATCGACGGGTTATTAAATGGGGCAATGTCTTGATTATTGAGGTTAGTATGGAGACTGTTATCCTTTTGGTTAGTTCACACGAGACATCAGTAGCCTCTGTGAACTCGATAGTGTTTACCAATGTGTGGTCTTGTGCAGCCATGTTAAATATTTTTCCATATTTTGTTTTGCTTAGAACTCAGATTAAATTGTCACGTATCAAATGGAATTAAGATGCTCCTTGCTTTGCCGTGAATAGTTTGGTCATGACAACAGTCTGGCTGCTAAGTAATTTTTGGGCCTCATCGGTATTCGGCTATTCTCCAAACAACACCACACCATTGATTTATACAGTAAATAGTTTTATTCTAGCTTTTGTTGTCTGTTGTCTGATCTCGGCCAGTGGCATTGCTTCCATTTCATTTGTCCTTTGTTCCCTTTTCGGGTTTAATTCAATTACGTTTCATTAATTACAAATGAGTATGGAGAATAGAATCATTAGATTGTAATGTCGATAATGGTGGTGATGTGGATAACAATGACAATGGCAGCGACAGCTACGTTGGTGATAATAACTTCCTGGGGATTAGTTTGTCAGGACATTTTCAGCAGTTCTGACGATTTCGTGGCAGTAATTCGCAGAAATGTCTATCTGTACTACATTCAAATGAGGCATTCTCCTCAGTCCGATGACAATGAATGTATTTCTTAATTTCGTCTTTGCTTACTTAATGTTTTGATCTTTTGATTGAAATTGTTGCGTGATAAAACATGAAAACATTACTTTGGCAAGAACGAAACATGTAAGTGTTGACGTGAAATGATTCGTGTTGGCATCGTATGACTAAAAGTTATTCATCGACTTAATTCAATGAACAAATCACGAACGCTCCAATGAATTAAGATGACTTTAATTCCAAATAATTTGTATAGATGTTTGGCTTTTCTTTATTATTAACTCCTACCGCGTTTGAATAAAAGTTAATAAGAGATTATAACATATTGACGGAGTTATGGCAATTTTCGTAATTTACTAATAAAATTCGAAGAAATTACAATTTTAGTTTAACTTACGATTTACTGCATTTGTATGATTTGTATGTGGTGTGCATCGGTGTTAGGGTTAATTTGTTTTCAAACGAATTTGAGTAGCAAAATCTATCTTTCCAAAATTTATCAACATTGGTCAGTTTTTCAACAAAATTTACTCAAATTTCATATATTGGGGTTTCATTGGGAGTCAAATAGTCCTATCAAAAATTACTAACATTTTGGTATAGCCCCCTTATAACGATTCTTGATCGATGTTAATTAGAATCTATTAACAACTGAAGAATGTCCTTTAAAACTTCCATTGAATATATAGCCGATTATTTGCGGAACAGCTAAGTGGCAGCGAGAGCGCTTCTCGAAAGGTCAAAGGCGTGTTTCACGAAACTGGGTGTTTATGATTGGTGGGGACGATAACTCGAAAACAAATAATACAATCGGTTCAAAATTTGAACACATTACTCAAGACGTAATAGCTATGTTATAAACTATAACAAATCCAATCGGTTGAAATCTTCCTTAACCTGCATTGTGGATTAAAAGAGCTGATTTTCCAAAAAATCAAATCCATACTAGGCATATGCTCTACCAGATCCTGTTGGATTTTTTGGTTTCCGAGGTTCCACTGAGCTTTAAACTCAAGAAACAACAAATTAAATTAAGCAATTTGTTTTCTTTTCTTCTCCTTTAAGTCTTCAACTACATATATGCAAAGTTACAAAAAGTCGAAATAATATACCTGAAGCATGGATAAAAGGAATGTTGCTTATATACACTTTTTTATTTTTTGTCTATCCATACGTAAATGGTTTTAAATTTACTGACTTGAATTTTTGTGGTTGTTATTTAATTCTACTGTCAAAAAAATCTGTTCCATACGCACTTTAAGATGTTGGTCATTTTCTTTGCAACGATGCAAATATTTTCTCCTGCTACCAAAAACATTTCTGTGCAATGTGTGGATGGCATCTCAACAAACACTCGACAAAACTTTGGTTGATACTGTGGTGTCATCAGCATAGTAGATAGAAATATATTTTTATTATGAAATCCGAAATATTTTGTTTGATCAAGAAAATATTATCTATATATAAATTTGGGTTAGTTTAGACTTACGTTTGTTTGCCCAATGAAATAAAATCAAAGTGACGCGAGTTTCAATTAATATAAAAAAAACTTATATTTCAATTAACTTTGACAAAATATGAAATAAGAAAATTGTCGAGATGAGTTGTGTAGGTGTGAACTGCATCGCTGCCGACAGGGAAGAGATCGAGAAAGTTCTCGCTTTTATGCAAATGCAAAAATGCATGTGCTTGCGCAATACCAGTTATCTGTCTTGGGTAATCTGTATTTGGTAGCTGAAGGTTGCCACATCACTCCCCTCGGTGGAAAAGGCTACCGGAATCTTACAGGGAGCTTTATTCGCCTTCCACTTGATGTAGATTTGGTCGCAGGCTGAACGGTCGGTGTCGTTGATGGCTCAGATGAATGTGTGGTATCGGCAGGACAATATTGAAACGGCGAATCTGCACTGCAAGCATGACTGGTGATGTCTTCTTGTATATGTGGAATGCTAGGCACGATATCATTTGGTGATGGATGAATTGTTGTCTGCTCATGTAAGCTTGCAGATTCTGTTGCAGGAAGAAAATATGGCTTAAAACGATCGATGCTAATATTGGTTGTTCGACCACGGACAAGTAATGTGAAATATTTGGGAAAGCGTTTTAAAACAATATACTGGCCATCGTAAGGATGAGTCAGAGAAGGATGAATTGAGTCATTGTGAACAAAACCGTGCTGAAGAGTTGTTTTTGAGGAAGAATTCTCCTGGGACACTTAAGGTAGTACCGTACACTAGCTCTGCCGGTGATGCTTTGATGTCAGCTTTATACACAACACGGAGGCCAAGTAAGATTGTTGGAAGGTGATACATCCACCTTGATGAATCATGACATAGAATGGCAGATTTAAATGTCCTGTGCCATCTTTCTATTAAGCCGTTTGCCTGAGGGTGATATGGTGTAGTTCGTAAATGAGTAGTTCCAATCGTTTGCATTAGTTCAGCGAAAACCGCGGACTCGAATTGTCGGCCTCTGTCGGTAGTTATTCGATGTGGAACTCCAAATCGTGAAATCCAATGGGTTACCAGTCCTTTTGCTACGGATTCGGCAGACATGTCGGGTAATGGAACGGCTTCAGGCCAACGCGTGAATCTGTCGATTATGGTGAGACAATATCGCTGCCCTTCACATAGTGGAAAGGGGCCAACGATGTCAACATTTATGTGTGAAAAACGCTCAGTAGGTGGCTCGTACATGTCTGGTGTTGATCTCGTGTGACGCTGCGTTTTTGATCGCTGGCATGGAATACATGTTTTGACAAAGCTCGCAATTTCTTTTTTCATCCCAGTCCAAACAAACCTCGAAGTAACTAATAAGGTTGTAGCACGAATTCCAGGATGAGCTAAGTTGTGTAATGAATTAAGTATCTGTTTCCGAAAACTTTTTGGGATGTATGGTCGAACTCGAGTAGTTGAAGTATCGCACGCAATTTGTTCATCACATCCTAAAATATCCAAATACTTTAATGTCAATGAGTTATGGGACGTACCTTGATTTTTTATTAAATCATGCAGTTCATTGTCCTCTCTTTGCGCTGCTGCTAACTCCTTCAAATTGACGATTGCTTGATTTTGGTTGTTATGTATGGTATTTATGCGAGACAGGGCATAAGCAGTCGAATTATCCCGTCCAGGCGTATGTCTAAAATCAGTTGTAAACTGGCTAATAAAATCGAGCTGGCGCAACCTACGGGGAGATGTTTTTTCCATCTTCTGCTGGTAGGCGAATATTAGTGGGCGATGATCGGTAACTACGTAGCAAGGGCGTCCTTCAATTGCGTAGCGAAAGTGACAAACAGCCTGGTAGATGGCAGCTAACTCTCGGTCGTATGTTGAATATTTCTGCTGCGTCACCGTTAGCTTTTTGGAATAAAACGCTAATGGTTGCATGTTGCCATTAACCTTTTGGTGCAATGCTGCTCCAACGGCTGTGTCTGATGCGTCAACGTAGACTGCTAATTCTGCGCCGGGTACGGGATGAGCAATTAGCGTTGCGTTACATAATTCGGTTTTGCAGTGCTCAAACGCTTTTCGGTGGCGAGAGACCATACCAGTGGTTTTGTGTCATTTTTTTTTTTACCGGATATCATGCCTTGTAAAACTCCTTGGTAGGCGATGGTATGCGCAAAAACTTTCTGTAAAAGTTGATCATTCCCATGAACGTTTTAAGCTCTTGCGCTCTTTTATTACAACGACTTTTTCGGGGGATGGTCGAATTCCATCTGTAGTAACAAGGTGGCCAAGAAATGTAATCTCTGACTTTCCGAATTCACATTTTTTTAGATAAATGGCGAGTCGATTTTCCCGTAGACACTGAAACACCAAGCGAAGATCGTGACGACGCTGCTCTAAGGTGGCAGAGAAAACAAATATGTCGTCGACGTACGAGAACACACAATCGATGCCTCTAAACACTTCATTGATTAGCCGCTGAAAGGTCTGTGTGGCGTTTCGCAGGCCGAATGTCATGCAATTGAACTCGTACAATCCAAATGGAGTACTAATGGCTGTTTTCGGAACATCATCCGGATGAATAGGAATTTGATGATATGCTTTTTGCAAATCGATTTTTGAAAAAAACTTGTTGCCTTTTAAATTATTTTGGAAGTCAGTCAAATACGGTAGAGGATACCTGTCGGGCAAAGTTTGAGCATTCAGAGCGCGGTAGTCTCCACACGGTCTCCACGACCCATCTTTCTTTTTAACCATATGTAATGGGCTGCTCCAATTACTTTTAGACGGTTGACAAATTCCTGCTTCGGTGAGAAAATTGAACTCTTTTTTTGCTGCTTCAAGTATTTCAACGGACAATCTGCGAGGACGACAAAAAGTGGGCTGGCCAGTCGTTTCAATTCGATGAAAAATGGTGGATTTTGTTTTGGTACCGTAAGTCGAGAGTTTCGTGATATCGCTGAATTCGTGCAAGAGATCTGCAAACGGGTTGTTTGTGCAAAACAGTTTAACACAGGCGATTTTTGAGGTCGATGGTAGCTGTAGCTGGGAGTTGTGACCGGTGATGTTGTCTATGAGACGATTACGGCGCAAATCGATCAACAAATCGTGATATTTGATGAAGTCTGATCCTATTATTGGCGTCGTCACATCGGCAATGACAAATGACCAATAGAACTTTCGCTTTAAACCAAGGTCTAACTTTAAGCGCGTTTCACCAATAACTTTAATCGGGGAGCCGTTGGCAGCATACAATGTGACAGCCGTTGGGGACATGTTAGAAGATTTAGAAGAAAGAGGAAGCACAGATACGTCAGCACCACTGTCAACTAAAAAAATTTTTTGGGACCATCTGTCGGTAACTTGTAGGCGAAAAATATGGCATTTAGTGGGGGATTTTTCGCTGGAATCCACCACTGGCCTAAAAAGTCAATCTGAAGGGTGCGCTGTGACAGCGTGCGCTTGCCGCTGCTTATGCTTGCACGGGCTGCGGCATCTCCTTGCATTACGTCCGTATTTTTTATGATACCAGCACTCGTCTAAATTTGAGGTTTCGCCGTCGGGTGAAGCTTGTCGATGCTGGGAACGGTGACGAGCAGTGTTATGTGTTCGAGATCGTGAACGTGACCGCATGGTAAATTGCTGGAACTTTCTACTTAAATCCATTATAGCTGTGCGTAGCTCGCTTATGTCACTGGCGTGGTCTTTGGACACCTTACATACCTGTGATGGTGACACGGCATCTACAATTGAGTCAGCTATTTTGGTAAATTCCGTTGCTGCACCATTTGACGCTGCTACCACAGGTTGCGCAAAAGTTGGCAATCTTTTGATCCAAAGACCTTTGAGTGCTGTTTCTCCTATCGAGTTGCCGGCTACTCTTTTCATTTCGAAAAAAAGCTCGGAAGGTTTTTTGTCGCCTAATGGCATTTCAGACAGGAGTCGGTTGAGTCGTCTCTGTTCGCTGTCGGCAAGATGGTCAATAATTTTCCGCTTGATGTATTCGAATCGGTCGGATGCTGGCATAGATGTGATAACCTCGACCAACTGCGCTATAATTTCAGGTTTTAGTGCGGCAAGCACGGTGGCGGCCTTTTGTTTGTCAGAGGTTATGCCAGAAGCACTGAACCAAAATTCCATTGAAACGAACCAGGCTTCGACATTCGTGTAACACATTTCTGGGAATGGCAAACGGGCATAAATGGCGGATACATTACTGGCGTTGCTTCTTGGCATTTGGCCTTGATCATCGTCATCGGTCTGCATAGCCACGGTGGATGCCGTTGATAAATTGTTGGTTGTCATTTCTTTTTTGTGTTGTCTCGGGGTCACCAATTTGGGTTAGTTTAGACTTACGTTTGTTTACCCAATTAAATAAAATCAAAATGACGCGAGTTTCAATTAATATAAAAAACTTATATTTAAATTAACTCTGTATTTGGTAGCTGAAGGTTGACACATGTATGTGTGGCGTAAGCCAAATGCTGAATTTAATCATAAGAATACTAAAGCCACAGTTAAGCACGGAGGAGGTTCTGTTATGGTTTGGGGCTTGTCGAGTTCGGGAGTAGGCAAATTTCATTCTATTGATGGTAAAATGGAAAAATTTGTCTACCTCAACATTTTAAAACAAAATGTAAAGCAAAGTGCAGACAAATTGAGTATCGCGAACAACTTTGCCTTTTATCAAGACAATGATCCCAAGCACACATCAGGTGTTGCAAAGCTTTGGTTGATCCCAAACTTATACAAACACCTGCACAGAGCCCAGACCTTAACGCAATTGAGCATCTTTGGGAAGAATTAGCTAGGAGAGTGTATGAAAAAAATTTAACTCCTTAGTACAGCTTAAGGAGGCTTTACTGGAATCGTGGAACTCCATAGAGCCGGACGTATGCCAGACTTTGGTCAAATCAATACCGAAGCGTTTACAGGCCGTTCTGGACAACTAAGGATATGCAATTAAATATTAATTTCTCGAATTTTTGCATTTTGTAATATTGATACTTTGCTTTGTCCGATTTTGCGTTGAACACAATAAATTAAGTTAATTTTGTTTTTCTGCGAAATTTACTGTTTTTGTATTGTTCAGAAATATAAGTATGTAATCTGTAAATAAAAGCGAAAAAACTACACATTTAGACAATTTTTTTTTGAAATGCATAGCATTATTATATCTGACAACCACTTGTCCGATTATTCGATGGAGCCACTGTATATCTTTCGATTTGCACGAAATTTGGTATGGCCTATTGAATTAGGTCTAGAATGATGTGTGCTAAGTTTCGTGAAAATCGGTTTAGATTTACAAATAGCTCCCATATATAGTTTCGCCCGATTTTAGGTAAATAGTGCACCACATTCCCTGAAAATCGTTTGATTTGCACGGATTGTGGATTCAGATTTCGATATAACTCTCATATATAGTTTCGCCCGATTTTAGGTAAAGTAGGTCTAGAATGATGTGTGCTAAGTTTCGTGAAAATCGGTTTAGATTTACAAATAGCTCCCATATATAGTTTCGGCCGATTTTGGGTAACGAATTGTGGCATAGCGTATTGAATTAAGTCTAGAATGACGTGTGCTAAGTTTCGTGAAAATCGGTTCAGATTTAGATGTAGCTTCCATACATAGTTTCGTCCGATTTTAAGTAAATGGTGCACCAAAGTATCTGAAAATCATTCGATTTGCACGAATTTTGGCATAGCGTATTGAATTAAGTCTAGAATGGTGTGTATACCTCCCATTTATATATATATATATATATATATACATATATTCGTCCGATTTTAAGCAAATTGTGCACTAAAGATCCACAGCTAGGCCGATTGACACAACGTACTGAAATTAATATTAATTAACCTCTGGCAAGTTTGCTTCAAATCGGTTCAGATATAGATATATCGTAGCTTCCATATATAATTTGGACTTATTTATGTTAATTGTAACCAAATAATTAATAGCTTTCTGTTCCAGAAAGACATAAAAATCATATATTTAAGTTCGTTCAATTTCATGTCAAAATTCCTTCAAAAAGACGACGTCTTTTCGTCACTCTACATATGTAGAATATACCCAAAGTGGTGAAGGGTATCATATAGTCGGCCCAGTCTGACCTTACTGCTTATATTTTGAGTTACTAACTTTGATTCTATAGCCTTAACCTCTGCCGTTATAGCCTTAACGTCTGCCAGCACGATCGTATTGTAAGCTGGTAGGCGAAGGGAAATTTTGATTTTGGGTTCTTCAATGGAAAACCCCATTCCCTGCTAGCTGGGAGTCATCTGTGTAGCAGCAGTTCCTAGGGAGCATGTTAACAAGTGTTCCGCTATCCCATGATTCCCTGTCTGGTATCATAGTTTCCCATGTATCTACTAGAGTTGGGTAGTTCCGGAATGAACTAGTTCATTGGAACTATTCTAAGAAAGGAACGATCGGAACTAGTTCCAACTCTTTAATTAATATAGTTCCTTTTTCTGATCTCGTTCCTTTTTGGTCTCGTTCTTTTTTCTGATCTCGTTCATTTTTCTGATCTTCGTTCGTTCGTTTTTCAAATGGTGTCACATCGTTAACAATATGTAAAAATACGCTCACCAATTTATTATTGTGAAAAGAGTTAAATTTTATTTTTATACCCTACACAACTATGTTGTCAGGGTATTATAGCTTTGTGCAGCACCAAATGTTTGTAACGCCGCGAAATATTGGTCCTAGACCCACCTTTAGTATACCGATATCTCGATTAGCTGAGTCGATCTAGATATGTGTGTCCGGCAGTCTGTCCATTATAATTTGTAAACACGATACAGGCCACAGTTATGGACCAATCTTCACGAAATTTTGCATGTAGGATGGGTTCTGGTCCCTATTGTTTTTGGAAAAATCGGTTAATATTTAGGGGATGAAATAGACCAAATACTAAATTTTTATCGGTTTTTTTTTGGTCGCTCCAGAGGCCGCAGTTACGGTCCAAACATCGCGAATTTTTACAGGGAGAAGGGTGTCGGGCCAAAGAATAAGCTTGTCTGTTTTGATAAAAATCGGTCAATATTTAGCGGGTCAAATGGACCCTGACTTTTGTGTGAAAAATTACAAAATTTGTATTGTATGACGTATATATTTACTGCTGAAGGATAAAGACCCGAGAAGTTGAAGTTGGCTTGGAATATACATCCGCAGAATGTTACAGTTCCGTGGTTGTTGTGTAGGGTATCATATGGTCGGCCCCATCCGACTATACAGCTCCGCTCACTGGTTTTGAGTATGAATGAAGTTAGGCTGATTGGCAAACCGCAAGCTAGGAAGACATTTAATGCATCACAAACCATTTCTCTATCAATCTTAGGTTCGTCGTAGCTTTCCTCCCTTAGCACCGTTATATCATCACATGTCGATGTGTTCTGTTGAAAGTAAGCTGTCATGAGAAGTCTTTTTGTTTTATAGATAGAAACTTCTTTATTTTTGTTTCTATCTACGCTACGCTATCTACCGGTTCACATAAACTTTTCCAGGAGTTGTGTTTAGCTGTTATTGTCGTTTTGTTATATTCTTTCCTCTTAGTATGAAAGTTGTCTCCATATACTGCAGATCTCTTGAGCTTTATTGAATTTAGCTCTATTGTAAAGTCTTCGGACCTCTTCTCCTTTGTTTCGAATCTCCCCGGGCATCCGGGATTTTTCTATGTCGCCTGTATTTAGGCTATCATAATTGGGTTGAACTGAACTATATACCAAATTTTACCCAGTTAATCTTAGACTTGATACGATAGAATATTGGTTTTGGCGGAGGCCGTGAAATTTTAAACCTAATATATTTATAGTGTTGTGAGACTCTCTCCGCCGTTGGTGGTGGTATCGGCGAGTCGAACAGAAAGTAGACTGATACAAAGTAGACTGATACTTTCCTTCAGTATAGTCGCGTCCGATATTGACGAAAAGAAAAAATTTAAATTTGTATGGCATTTTATACAAGTTCTTGGTCGGGAACCTGTGTTTGCATAAAATAATTGGTTTCGTATGTGGCATAATACAAAGGCCTTGTGTTTTATTGTCCAAAGCTCTCATATTAACCCGATGTGTATTTACCTTTAATATTTTTTTCCATCAGCGCCACTGTTGCGGTTTCACTCAGATAGAGGTTTATCGGAATAAATTCTCTCAGTGCTCGGTTGGTATAGCCTAATGATTTAGGTCTAGAATGATGCATGTTAAGTTTCCTGAAAATCGGTTCAGATTTAGATATAGCTCCCATATATATTTTTGTGCGATTTAATGTAA